AAATCTGTATGTAATCGTCCGTGGCAGGCATATTTTCTCGCATGTTCGCACTTCCAAAATATTTTTTCATCATTTCTTCGATCAATAATATATGAAAAGTCGTTGTGAATAAGTAGTGGAGCGTTCTTCGAGATTTTAGAGAGAGTAATTGACATGATTCTTTTGTTAGTGAACTGTACTGGAACTGGTACCGCTTTTATAGGGATATAGCGTTTATCATAACTCATTATTTTATGAGAATTAAATTAATTTCCACAAACTTTAACTAATTTATTGTTACACATTTCTTTTTGGCGAGCAAGTGTCCTAGCGAGCAACTGCCCCATTTCATTGAGTCTTTTGAAATAATTTTCTAGCCTTTCCAATCAATAATATGATCTGTTTTTGTTTCACGTTTATAGAGTGCTGTTTTTGTTAGTTTGTCTTTATTCATAGATGGATAATCTAAATGCTTTTACTTAGGAAGGTTTTAAGTTTAACGTAGGAGATCATTTTCTATAGCCAGAAGTATTTCTATACATATATGGCCTCAGAACGGCTATTTCCGTAAATGTGATATACAGAAATATAGCGAAGAAAAAGTGCTTTCGAATGATATATAATAGTTGTGAGGAATTGTGAAACTGAGAGAGAAAGATCCAAAACTACAATCTAGAATATATATCAGGCGCAGTAAAAACTTAATCAAATTTGATTCGACCAGTTGTTTTCTGAGATTGGTTTTAAGATCTAGTAAGTATCTAGAAATATTCCCCTCTTCATTCTACATCTAGCCTTTGATTAGTCGATGAAATTCAGGCATGAGCCAATGTCATCAGACAATCGCCCCCGTCCCTTGTTACTTATGATCATAGCAAGCAAGCTAGGTTATTACTTAGTATTAATTATTTTAAGCCACTCTAGTCTGACTATCAAGTTCAAGACAAATTAGCATTACTGAATGTAAAACCATGAAAAACTATTTCAATTTCTTCGGTTTCGGGTGATGCTAGTCCCTCATACAGCCATAGATTCATGTGTACAGGTGCCGCGGTCTGAGGCACGAATGATTCGTATGTCGGGGGTGTTGTATAGTTGAAAAACATGACCGTATCGTTGAATCCGTGCAGACTTTCCCAAACAATTTGGTTGGTAGTCCATTGAAATCGATGCGTGGTATAGGTACTATTCAGTTTCATCGTGGTGTTAGCTGAATCTCTCGGTTGTTCAGTAGTGTTAGGATAGACCGTGTAGAACAAATTAGGTACTGACTCCGATGTGTTATTCCATTTAGACATTTGGATATTAACTTCATTTGAGCCTATGGGACAACAACCAGAAACAGATAGAGCGAGAACAATGGTGGGACTGAATTTATCCAATGCTCCTTCAATAAACCACTGATATGTGCCGAAACTAAACGCTTGACTAGTGTACAGCTCAGCACATGTCCACGTTTCATTGTTCAAGCGTCTTATTTTTAAATGAAGCTGATTGTTCGAGTCAGTCCAAACATTATCTTTCGACCAGTTGTTTGGCCCAGGGAACATATTATCCTCATTTCTCACTTTCCATGTGTAGTTCATCCAGTTGATTACCTTCATACCAGCTGAATCGGTGTAATCAATCACTTGTGAAGTGGTACTTGACGACTGAGTACTCGTCGATGCAAAAGTTAACGAATTTGAAGTTGAACCGAGAAAAGAAGGTGGTATTGTCGTATTAAGAAATATAGATACATTGTTTTGTTTGTCCGAGAATGTTGTCCCTGTTAAATTTACATTCATAAACAATGCTCCATTCAAGTCAGCACCCGTGAAATCTACATTCTGTAATTGGCTATCACGAAAACTAGCATTCTGTAATTGGGTACCATGAAAACTAGCGTTCCTTAGGTTTGACTCCAAAAAGTTGACGGCTATGAGACAAGACTCGTCGAATGTGGCTTGCTCCAGGTCAACATAGTCAAAGTGTGAATTTCTCATAGAAACGGCATCAAGGTGGGCATATTTTACATTACGCCGTTCAATACCTCGTAAACCACTCAGGTTAACATAATCAAAAGTCATCCCGTTCAACCGGATATATCCAAGATCCACATCTTGTCTACTCACAACCACGTTGTTTCCGATGAGCTTAGCTTGTGCAACAAATTCTAGCAGATAGCTCTTTCGCTGGGCATCTAGTTGACGGACAGTTGAATCTGTCTTAGCTGTAGCAAATAACCATGTTTCTGGAGTACTAGGACGATTTTCATAAATCAGTTTGAACATATCGTTGATATAAATGTCAAAAACAGTATTATATCTTAGTTCAATTGCCATTTCCAAATCTTGTTCACGCTCCTCGTCAGCTATTTTCGCGTCATTTTCGGCTGCTTGGTTACTCGCTCGCATCTGTTGATCAGTGATTACAGCAGTGAACACAGCAATCGCCGCTGGAAGCAAAATTGTTGACAAAAGGTTTAGCCAAGTAGAAAATGACAATCCACAATATTTTCGTCCTTTCGTTGGTGGTGACTCTTTAGACACGTTTTCGTCTAATATGATGCGATCTACAGCTAACGGTGCCGCATACTAAAACATACACTAAAAGAGAGCTGTTCTTATACCTTCTCCAGACCTGGCGAAAGTGTTACTCCAGGCCATACTCCGAAACAACTCAATAAACTTACATGATTTTGGGGCATTTTCAGAGAACGCTCCACTACTTATTCACAACGACTTTTCATATATTATTGATCGAAGAAATGATGAAAAAATATTTTGGAAGTGCGAACATGCGAGAAAATATGCCTGCCACGGACGATTACATACAGATTT